AATCTGGTAAAAACAAACAAACGAATGAATAAATGAAGGAATGAACCCTACACAGTCATCTACCAGGAGGTTTTGTGAGGGGTATTCTCTGTTTCTCTCATTCTCTTTCCCTCTCTCTTCCCCCACCCCTCTCTGACTATGAACAGAATAGAATTGAGAAAGGAAAACTTAACCCTAAAAGGGAAGAGAGATTTGATTTTATTTTACTTTTCTAGCACAAGCTGGATGGAAGTAGAGACAAAGAGGGAAAGCATATTTGCTATTTTTAAAATTCAATTTTATTTTCTTTTATTTTCAGTTCCAAATTCTCTTTCTCCTTCCCCACTCCCAATTGAGAAGACAAGAAAAATAAAACCTATTACAAATATGTATAGCCATTACAAAACACATTTCTGCATTAGCCATCTTAAAAAAAAAGCCAGAAAAAGAAAGGGCAAAAAAATACACTTCAATCTGTACTCTGTCCATCAGTTCTCCATCTGGGAGCAGATAACATGTTTCATCATGAGTCCTTTTGAAATGTGGTTGGCCATTGCATTGATCAGAATTACCAAGTCTTTCAAAGTTGTTTATCTTTACAATTTTGCTGTTACTGTATAAATTGTCCAAAAATTACTGTTTATTGATAATTTTTGTTAGTAATTTGCTATCAGTAATTTTACAGAGTGCATATTTATAAATATATGTTCTGATCATGTCCCTGGACCTTTTTCCTATTGAACCTGAAGAAATACTGTTAAGAAGAAGGAGCTAAAAGATATGAAATTGAAGGAGAGAGGAGTTAGGAGGGTGTTGGTGGCATTTTTGCCTAAGCACTCCTGGGCACTGAAGTTGCTGAGATTTGCTGCTGCTGCCAGGCTTACTGGGAATTGAACACTTTCACACATATATACACACACATAAACACATACACATACACACATAAACACACACACATACACACACACACACACACACACACAATTCTTCATGGGCCTAGCCTAATCAACACATGAAAGATATTTAGAAAGATAATCATAAGATCATAGTTTTAGAACTGGAAGGCACCTTGAAAATCATCTAGCCCAATGTCCTCATTTTATAGAAAAGGAACTAAGGAAACTTAAGTGATTTGACCAAAGTCAAATATTACGTGGCAGATTTGAACACAGAAAAAAGGATTCCAAATGAATCAATCAGCATTTAGTAAGCATGCATTATGCTCCAAGGAGCAGCTAGGTGGCACAGTGGATAGAGTGCTGGTCCTGAAGTCAGGAAAACCAATCTTCGCAAGTTCAAAGCTGGCCTCAGACACTTACTCTAGCTGTGTGACCCTGGGCAAGTCACTTGACCCTGGTTGCCTCAGTTTCCTCATTTGTAAAATGAGCTGGAGAAGGAAATGGCAAATTATTCTGTTATCTTTGCCAAGAAAACTCCAAATGGGGGCTTGAAGAGTTGGATGTGAACAAAATGACTAAACAAAGTACAACAACAATTACGTTCCAGGTATTGGGCAAACAAAGCCAAAGTACATAGTTCTTGCCCTCAAGGATCTTACCTTGTAATGAGGGAGGAGAGGGGGATACATACAAGGGAGTGTTGGCCAGAGAAGAGAGTTTTGGTGCAGAGAGTCAAAGGGATTGTGATTGGAGCTATAAAATAATGCATAATAATTCCTTTGCCAGTGGCAGAGGTAGTGTTGATTTTATTTTTTTTCCCAGGGCAGAAGCAAGAGATGGAAAGTGTGTGTATGGGGGGTGGGGGTGAGGGTTTGCCTGAGGTATGGATGTTGCAGATGGAAAGTTTCCTGTGTACATTAGGCTCTGGTATCCTGGTAGATAGCTGGATGGAGTGTGAATTAGTCAGGGCCCTTTAGATATAGTGGGTGTGGGGGTGAGCTTTTACTCATTTACTCAGGTCATCCATCTATTATCTGGGATATAGGATGAATTCAGAGAGTGTGTGATTCTTTATGGGCTCAGTGAGCATATGTCATATGCAAAGTCACTCTGGGCTTGGCTGAGTTTAGTGACATGGTGAATTAAATATTTGCTCACAAACTCAAAGAAAGAGTAAATTACTGTACAAAGTCCGGGTTCAGGAGGTAGGATGTACTAACAAGAAAGAAAAGAAAAGAAAGAAAGAAAGGAAGAAAGAAAGAAAGAAAGAAAGAAAGAAAGAAAGAAAGAAAGAAAGAAAGAAAGAAAGAAAGAAAGAAAGAAAGAGAGAAAGAGAGAAAAAGAGAAAGAGAGGGGAGAAGGAAGAAAGAGAGAAAAAGAGAAAGAGAGGGGAGAAGGAAGGAAGAAAGGAAGGAAGGAGGGAAGGAAGGAAGGAAGGAAGGAAGGAAGGAAGGAAGGAAGGAAGGAAGGAAGGAAGGAAGGAAGGAAGGAAGGATGTTGGTTCTTGGATGGATTGGTGCTGGGAGTATGGAGGGGAGATAAGCAAAAAAGATTTGACTTTTAAAAAAAGTTGGTGACCCTGATGATGACTTTTGCAGTATAGAAACAAGTCTGGGCTTGATTTTAATGATGTCAAATGGTCAGTATTGACTATCCAATGTGTGCAGAAAACTATACCAGAATCTATTTGCAACAAAGTTTTTCTGTTATAGAAATTTACATATTCAATCCACACAGCAAATATGGTTATATCCTTCACCAAAGTCCTACTCTGATATGTTATCATGGTGCAATGGTGATCCTTTCTTCTTAAGGGCTATAACAGTAAAATACACATTCTGTTTGAAAGGTTGTACCAAACTAGAAATGCTTCAAGTATGCCTCCAGCGATAGACTGACTCCATCTCCTCTACCTAGAATGCCCTTCCCCCACCATCTTCACCTGTTGTTGCCCTGACTGCCCCTCAATGCCCAGTTCAGGAACCATCTCCCCAGGTCCCCATAGCTGGAAGATAACTCTCTCTTCTGTAATTCCATGGTATTTTTTGGCTCCATCTTATGGGATTTATTGTATTTCTGGTATTCGCCATTTGTGAACATATCTTAACTTACCTATGAGATAATAAACTCCTAGAGGTCAAAAGACTGTGTGTATGTTTTTATCTCTCATCATGCCTTGCTTATAGTAAGGACTAAATAAATGTTTCATGAAGAAATGAATGAATGAACAAATAAATGAAAGAATGTTAATGCCACTAACAAACAAGGAGGCCAAGAGCAAAAGCTGATTTGGTGTGAGGAGAACACCAGGTCTGGTCTTACATGTGCTAAATGTGATGGAAATAACTAAGTAGAATTGGAAGAAAATATATGTGAAAGGATAATTAAATCTAGCACCTTTGGTGTCTTTACTTCAGGACCTTTTGGGAAAGGAGCTAGGATATGTCCCCCTGGTTGTATTATTTTATCTATCATTGCTAGCATCTTTTCTCTTCTTCTTTCTTGTTAGGCTGATGCAGAAAACAAATGGAAAATGGTAGGATATGGATGTAAAGATAGGGAGAGGTTCTGTTATACATAGATAGGAATGGTGCTTCAATTTTGCTCCTTTGATGATATATGTCTTATTTCTCTAAAAATGAAACAAGGGAGGGAACAAGTAGGGAGTGTCACCCCACAGGAGAGGTGGCTAAATGTGGCACTAAAGATAATGCTGCCAAAAATAAAAATAAAAAAGTCACTTGATGTGAAATCAGTGCTCCTGTATGATTTCCCTCTTCCACCTGTCTCTGCTTTTTAGACTCATGGAGAAAATTCTACATATAAAATTTCCCCAGTACCTTGGAACCACTTCTCAAGTTAGTTTATAATGTTTCTGATATTCCATGAAGATAAAAAATTAATGAAGAAAAAATTGAGGGAAATGTATATTACATAAATAATAGTCTCAATAATTAGGTTAGTATGGTTCATATGTTTTTTTAAAAAGTATTACATTGTTCTTTTGTTTTTTTACTCTTTGTTACAAGGAATGGCCCACTGAGTAGAGATACACTTGGAAATGAAGGTGATCAAAGACAAAAGATATCAGTAAAAAATTAAAAAAAAAACAGTGCTGTGATGCCCTGAATTTTTATGAGTATGAAGAAAATGACAAAACTGGTTAAAACCCAGGCTCTTGTTCAGTTGTGTCTGACTCTTCATGACTCTTTTTGGGGTCTTCTTGTCAAAGATGCTGGAGTAGTTTGCCATTTCCTTCTCCAGCTCATTTTACAGATGGGGAACTGAGGCAAACAGGGTTAAATGATTTGCCCACAGTCACATAGCTAGTAAATGTCTGAGGCCAGATTTGAACACATGAAGATGAATCTTCCTGACTCTAGTGCTCTGTCCACTGCACCACCTAGCTGCCCTTAAGAACTAGGATTTATCTAAAAACAAAATATGCTGGAGTCAGGGAACATTTAGTTCATATATACAGCCTATATTACTGTTCAGTAAATATCTTTTTTAAAAAAATATCAACACCAAAAAAATGTAAAAAAAAATCAATACCTTCTGTTTTCATATCACCTTCAAACCAGTTTATCCCTGAGTGAGTTATCCTTTGTAACAAAGATTTTTTTTTTTAAAAAAGTGAAAGAAAAGCAAATCATCAAAACTAACCAAAACATAACAGAGTCTGACGGTATAAGAAATGTTCTTCACCGATAATCCCCTAACTCAGCAAAGAAAGCAGACATTTTCTCATCTCTTCTCCAGGGATACACATAATCATCATAATTACATATCTGCACATACATTGTTATTTTTGTATAATCTTTGGTGACACTCGCAATAGGACCAGAAAGCATTTATTAAGAACTTTGTATGTGTAATCACTGTGAAAAGCACTAGGGATAGGGGGCAGCTGGGTGGTGCAGTGGAAAGAACTGTAGCCTTGAAGTCAGGAGGACCTGAGTTCAAATTTGGCTTCAGACACATAACACTTACTAGGTCTGTGACCCTGGGCAAGTCACTTAACCCTGATTGCCTAACCAAAAAGCCAAAAAAAAAAAAGCACTGGGGATACAAAAACATCCCTGCCCTCAATGAGCTCACATTTTATCGGGGGAGACAACATGTCAATAACTGCATACTTACAAGATATATACAGAGTAGATGATGGTGATCTGAAAGGAAAAGGCAAGAAATCTTGACATCAAAAAGAAATTCACCCATGGACACTCCACTAAACCTTTTAAAACAAAAGAAGTGGTCTAATGTATCCTAAGAAAAAAATCAATCCCCAGAGTCAAAAACAAAAAAGAATTTTTTTGGTTAGCCCACAGGCCAAAAATGTAATTAATTAGAATGCACAATTTCCCCAGCATTCTAGTTAATCAAGGTTAGATTAGCCTTCAAAATATGGTTTACTTATGAAGAACATTGCTCTTTCTGATTATAAAATTATTTTGCAGTATATTGAAGTAATATCCTGAGCTATTGTACATATTATAGTGTGTTAGTTTAGATTAAATACTGCAAACAGTTGTTTAAATGAGTCATTCTCTTTCCTGTTCATCTTAAAAGGCAAGATAGCAATCATGTTTGACTGCTCAGGCTAATAAATATTTACTCTTTAGTTAAGTTCCTTCGGTTGATAATTTTGACTTAAATAAACACCTTACCACTGATCCACTGCAAGGACTTCCTTCCTTCTCCAGAACTGGGAGCATTTTTATGAAAACAGGGGAAAAAATCCCAAAAAGTTTATGACCCAATCATATGATCAGATCCAGGAAGAAAGCCAAGGGTAGAAGCAATTGCAAAAATACATGATGGATTAGGGAGTCAGCTGAGTTTAGCAGAAAGAACATTAGCCTTAGAGTCAGGAGACCTCATATTGACTCAGAATTTTGCCACTAACTACTTGTGTGAATGTGAGCAGGTTATTCAACCTTCTGCATCTCAGTTTGCACAATGTAAAAATGAAGGGTGACACAAAATGATCTCTGAGGTGCCTTCAGCTGGAACAATCTATGAACAAAAGAAGAAAGGAAAATTATTACCCTGTGAACGTATGATATTGCCATAAATTAAAAGAGGATAATTTAACATTGGAATGAAGTGATTTTTTTTTCTTTTGAGGTAACTAGCTGTCTGAATCTAGGCAAGTCATAGGGCAGCTAGGTGGTGCAATGGACAGAGCACCGGCCCTGGATTCAGGAGGACCTGAGTTGAAATCTGGCCTCAGACACATAACACTTCCTAGCTGTGTGACTCTGGGCAAGTCCCTTAACCCCAATTGCCTCACTTAAAAAAAAATCTAGGCAAGTTACTTAACCACTATCTGCCTCAGTTTCCTCATCTGTACAAGTGGGATAACAATAGTATCTACCTCCTAGGGTTGTTGTGAGGATCAAATGAGATAATATTTCTAAAGCACACAGCACAATGCCTAGCACAGAGTAGGCACTTAATGAATGCTTGCTTCCTTCTTTGCCTCCCTCCTTTCTTTTTTCTTTCCTTTCTCCTTTCCTTCCTTCCCTTTTCTTTTGTAAGAAAATATCAATTGAAGGTTCTAGTTTGACTTAATTTTCTAGAAATATGTTTGTAAGGGAGCATAGAATGTCTGAAGTACTTACATTTCATTGTTCTTTCCTTCAATGGTTGTAGTCAGACTTACAGCTAGAACATATTGTTTGATTACTTAATCTAAAAAGTTCAGAAAAAATTGCTATAAGTGTGGCATTAGTGACATAAGAAAGTAAGTAGCTGAGTGCACAAAAGGGTAGAACATGTTTCTTGTCTATATGTTACAATTATTTACAAGTGAACATTAAGGTTGCATCTCAACTAGTTGTTTCTATCCTAGGAATAAGTCACAAAAAAACTGGGCACATTTAGATGCTCAAACTAGTTGAATCAATGAGCAGTCTGTCACTCAACTTCCTTGTCTTTTGAATGTCAACAGTACCAGCCAGAGCAGATGTTCAAAAACTTTTGATAGAACAACCAATGAATGGATTCATATACTTACTTAATTGCTTATATCCTTTTGGACATTAACATCCAAGCATTCCTGACCAATCAGGCATTCCCAACTCCTGCCAAACTGTTCAGGAGCAGTGTCTGCTTTCACTGCTCCTCCTTGCACATACCTCTGGAGGCTTACAAAAGTAAATCAACCAATAAAGATGAGATAAGCACTCTTAGGCTGCTTCAAAAATGATTTTAAGAAAATGATCCTCTTTTGGAATTTTTAAGAGAACAGTTTCAGCAGAAAAACTATCACTGTAGCTGCCTATATGTGTGGAATATATTCTCTGGTTTTACTTTCTCAAAGCCAGATCAGCTATATCCTCCTTTGGTGTAGGAAGTCTTTCTCTAATGCTATTGGCTCAAGCATGCATTCTGGTGTGTTACCCACTCCCACCCCCTTTAGTCACCAGTGACCTCTTTTTAAAGGCACCTAGGTGGTGAAGCAGAAAGAGCACAAGGCTTGTAGTCAGGAAGACCTGAGTTCAAATCCAGCCTCAGACACTAGCTGTTAAGCTGGCAAGTCACTTAACCCTGTTTGCCTCAGTGTCTTCCTCTGGAGAAGGAAATGGCAAACACTCCAGAATCTTTGCCAAGAAAATCCCATTTGGGGTCAAGAAGAGTCAGACTCCACTGAAACAACAAGCACCCTTTTACAAAGGGATATTTATTTCAAAGATATAATAAGAACAGAAGTACAAATAGACAAATAGTCCCCAACTCCCAACATGTTGGAGGCATCCTCTATACCACTTTGCTCACTGGAAACAATGAGCTCCAACTTGTCAGTTTCTACATAGCATTGGCTCTACTAAACTTACATCAAATACCTACTGATGCTAAATGAGTTCCTTTCTCAGCTATTAATAGCCTGAGTCCTGAAATTGTCCATTGCTCCTCTGGGTCTTAAAACTATGGTTGCAAACCCCAACATTGACACCATTCCTAGACCTCCTAGTGGCTTGCTTTCCTGATCTTTCAAAGCATACAAGGTTGTAGCCTCCAATCTCCTTCACCTAAAATGAAAAAAACAAACATTGAGGTCAAGAACAAAGGCCCATGTTCTTAAGCCACAAGTTGGCTTCACATAGGGAGGCGCCAAGGGCTCTCCTCTTATAGCTTTGTCTCTTAAAGAGTGCAGGAAGGAACTAGGCAAAAGATGGGGGTTTAGTGGCCTTTTGAATAGATCCCAGGTCCATCTATACAGCCAATTAATCAAGTTCCTCTTCAATATCTGGTTAGTAGACTAGTTACAGAATGTTTACACATATTCTAGGTTCTTCCACAAACCATTATAATAACTCTCAGAAAGCAGGATCCCCAGCCTTTTCTACATGGTGAATTGTATCACCCAAGTACAATGATGGCTACTTGTCATCTTTTCATTATATAAGGAACTTACATGAAATCTCTGTGAATCCTGTTGACAGAATGAGTTCTTGACAAATAATATGCATCAGAACAAGATCAAAACTGATTGAATCAAGGAAGTAGAGTCAAGCAACGAGGGTCCCCAATCATCCTCAGCTCCCAATGAAGTCATCTCCACCAACAATCTGCTTCTACCCATTTTTCTGCTCCACACTGGAAATCTCCATTCTGACCTTCCATCAGTTCCACATCATGACTTCCCTGAAACTGCCCTGTTGCCTCTCCTGTTCTGTTGCCTCACATGGACTCTCTGTCCTTTAAAAGTTGCTCAAGTCCAAAGTCAAAACCACAGGAACTTGGGGGGAGACACTGGGGAGTCTGCCTTACTGTGAACAATCACTTCCTATACCCCAAGTCTCCATGGTGACAACACTTGTTAGCATGGCAAGGACAGGCTACACACACACACACACACACAACACACACACACACACACATGCACGCACGCACACACACACACACACACAATCATCAAAGAGATCACTTGATCAAAAAGCACCATTTTAAGCAGAGGTAGAAATCAAAATGTTAAGATAATCTATAGTTAATTAACTTGGCTCTGTGTGTATATGTGAATATGTGTAAGTGTCTCTGATAATTAGTTTAGCACCATAGTGATATCACAGCTAGATAAAACGATTTTTATAGTGAATAAAATAATTAGAACATAAAATAATCATCTGTAGACCCATTTAAAAATCTTTGATAAAATTCCAGAGGCAGAAAGGATGATGAAGATAGCATGTTCCTCATCTTGTTTCCTCATAATTTTTCTTCTGCTAAGTCCCTATTTTGAAATCTTCTTTTTTTGAGAAAAACTATTCAAGTCCCCCATTCCCACTTCTTTTTTAGCCCTCTGTGTGATCTTATCCTGAATAATTTTCTAAAAGCAGCCAGAGCCAAAGCTGAAATTTTTAAAAAGAAGTTCAGAAAGTCTAGTAAACTGTTTTTAAGTTATACTAAGTAGGGCATATTCCTTATATTTTGAAGGTTATACATCTGGTATGGCAACACCTATTTAGAATGTTGTTCTTACATTTTGGTGGGCCATGGTATGCCTGGGTAAAGATAGGAAACAGTTTTGTTCATACTAACCCTCTGATTCCAGTAGAGTTTATTCATTAAATTCTCAGCTAAAAAAAATAACACTTTAGAAATGAGAATTTGAAAATAAATGTACAAATTAACAGAATACTATTTCAATTAACAAAATGTATTAAATATCCATTAGAATGATGTAGAAATGAGGCATTCATTAAGTTGAAGATGAGAAGAATTAAGATAAAAAAAGGAATCCTCATATTTACCTAGGGCTTCAGGATATATAAAGTACTTTGATTGCTTTGTGGTAATAACTAGCTCTTCTCTATTTTGGGGAACAAACATAGCAGCCTGTTTCTGATCTTGATATGCCTAAAACCATATCTTTGTGCTTTCTGGAAATTTCCATGTCCCAACTAGAACATCTGAATCCTTGCCAGTCAAAACCCAACATCTCTGTGCCTATGACATCAGAGATGGGAAACCATGTAGATATACCTGAACATGAACCTTCTCCGTGCCCCCTTTCTTATAAAACCGTGTATGATTTGAATGGCCCTGGCATGAAAGACACAAAGAGGCAGAAAATCATTCCACAAACTGACTAGGAAGAGAGGCCAAGAGCTGGTGAAGCCTAAATGTGCCAAATGTGAAGACAAGCCTTTCCAAAGGACCATCACTGACCACCACCACCTCCCCCATCCATCCTTCTGCAACAGCCTAGGCTCCTCCACTTCCCCAGTAACTGAGATGCCCTGCTATGTCTTTCTTTCTCCAGTCACCGAGACCCAGTTTTTACCATTCTCCAGTTGGAGGTTGAGATCTGGGAATATCTTTTGTTCTGTGTACCTTTTCCCTTATCTTTCTTTCTCCATGTCCTTACCCCAGGGTGTCTTATTTTAAACCTTAGGCCTACCTTAATGTGAGTCAAAATACACCACTATAAATACCTGTTGTTTTACAAGCAATAGATCTCCTTATCTCTTTAGTGAAAATTTCCTCTAGGTGCCCAAATCCCTCTAATGGATAATAATAAATTATTTCATTTGAGCATCAATGAATTTCCTACAATGTATTATTATCTTCAATTTGCTGATGAGGAAATTTAGGTCTAGAGAGGTTAAGTGACAGACCCATGGTCACACAGTTATGAGATATGAGAGGAATTTTAAACTAGATCTTCCAGATTTTATCTAAGAGGGCATTCAGCAAGCATTTACTACTATTACTACTACTACTACTACTACTACTACTACTACTACTACTACTACTACTGTTACTACTAACTAACAAGCTAGCTAGCTAGAATTTATTATCTTATGCTCCCAACATTGGAATATAGGTGCTATTCTTATTCCAGTTTTACAAATGAGGTAACCAAGGCAGACAAAGGTTAATAACTTGCCCAAGGTCACACTGCTATTAAATATATAAAGCTGCATTTGTACTCATCTTCATGACTCCAGGCCCAGCACATTGTGTCACTAGTTGCCTATTAAGTACTTCATATGTAACAGGCACTGTGTTAAACACTGGAAATACCAAGGGGAGAAAAGGGCAAAACACACACACAAACTCATACACACACACCCCATTTCCTATTCTTAAGGAAAATTCCAAATGATAAAATAGACAAATTTGTTCTACAGTCAAGTGGGGTGTATTAATTTTCCCACCCATTTAAAAGAAATTACCTTTATCAGGTAAAAAACATTTCTGTATTAAATTCATCAATCGGAAATGAGTCCTCAACAAGGCACTCATCTCCCAATTGCATTTTCAATGGATGTCCTTGAAATTCTGTCCCTTCTCATCTCTACCTCTGGACTTTCCTTGGCTTCCTTTCATTCTCAGCCAAAATCCTACATTCCACAAGAAACCTCTTCCAGGTCTCTTTAATGTACTAGTGCCTTCCCTTTGAGACTAGTTCCATTTTAATCTGTGCATATCCTGTTTGTCCATGGTTATCTGTGTATTGTCTTCCTCTATTAGATTATAAACTCCTTGAGAAAAGGGGGCTATCTTTTGCCTTTCTGTGTTGACTTGGTGAGGGTTTTAATCCAGAGCAAAGTCCCAACTCCACATAGCTTGTCTTTTCTGAAAAATTGAAAAGATTGAAATACAAGTTTCTTACAAAATTAATAAAGCTCCGAGCCCCCAGGTGATTATTTTGATCACTAAACTGGCTAGGATATTTCCCACTTCATTGAATTTAATATAATCCATTATTCACAGTTGCCCTCTCTTATCTGACTCCCTATAGAAATCACCAACTCAGGATACAATTAAAATTATCTTATCTTTATCTAGGAAACATTGTTTAAAATACAAATAAGGATTAAGAAAGATTTAAAATGGCAGAGAAACTCTTACTAATGAGCATACCTCTGGTATGTGACAATAAAACAGCAGAGAGAAACAGTTAAGTAAATTCACCATTTATCCAGTGGTTTTTTTTTTCTAAGTAGGCATGTCAGTCACCCCTTGCTAGATTCTCTTAACAAACTGAGCAGCAAGGCAGGAATAGGAAAAGGTTGCAGTTATTATAAGACTTAGAGTCTTTTGAAAAGTGTGTTTCATATGCTGGTGCTGCCATTCAATCAATCCATTTAATAAATATGTATTATTATTATCATTATCAGTTATTATTTTTATGGTGCCTACTATGTACCAGGCACTGTGCTAAGCACTGTGGATATAAAAAGAGGCAAAAGATAGTTCCTGTCCTCAAGGAGCTTACAATTAAATAGGCTCTTTCTAAGGAGATTTTTTAAAAAATACATATTTATTTTATAGAATAAAACAAGCATTTCCTTAACATAGTATAACTTTAAAAAAGATGATTACACATGAAACTGCAAATCTATTATGTTCAACTTGCTATTCATTTTAAATATGTAATATAGTTATCATGTAATTTTTTTTCCTTTTTTTCTTCCCTTCCCCCCCTCATCCTAGAAATGGCTACCATTAGACACAAGTGTGTGTGTGTGTGTGTGTGTGTGTGTGTGTGTGTGTGTAATATGATTCTATTCATCAGTTCTTTCTCTGCATGCAGAGAAGTATTCAAACAGATTAGGAGAGCTTAAAAGAGCTACTTCCTTCACATGTCCTTTGTAGTTAATTTGGATCTTTATAATAGTCAAAATGACTTATTCACTCAAAGTTGTTCTTAAAACAATACTGCTTTACTGCCTACAATGTTCTCTTGGTTCTGCTTATTTCTCTCTTCATTATTTAGTATAAGTCTATTCATGTTTTTCTAACATCATCAAGCTCACCATTTCTTATAGCACAGTAGTATTCCATCACAATCACATACCACAACTTGTTCAGCCATTCCCCAATCAATGGGTGTCCCCATCTAGGGAGATTTTAAAACTCCCTCTAAGCGAAAACTCTGTCCTTCCATTCCAATCTTACAATAGCTTCATCTCTTCCTAAACTGGGAAGAAATACTATTCTTAGGGTCTATAACAATGTTGGACCCCTTACGAGGCAGACAGTCTAAACCTTGACAGAATGACTGTTACACTCAAACCAA